TCCTAAGCAACCCAATCTAAGAGAAAAAAAAATATAAATGGACTACATTTATTAGCTGTGTTTTAATTATTTAGCAATGGTATTTTGGATTGGAAATTGTACATGCTTTATAACCAGATGTGAGAACTGATTAGATGTGACTTCAGAGGAGTTACTTAATCTCTTTTTGCTTTATTTTCTCATCTCTCAGAGGAGATCTTATTAGGGCTAAAGATGGCCCAAATGAAGCATCACCATGGTACGTAACAAAATACAGGTGCTCAGTACAGGGAGGCCTTAAGTGAGTAAAGCTGAAACCCTGGAAGGCTAAGTGTTTAGAGCATTTCTTCTTAAGTGCTCCCAGATGTGTGTCTCATTCACTATGTTGTAATGTCATGCCTGGATTTGTAATTGAAGGTTCTCACTTTAAAACACCATGAGTTACAAGTAATCCAATACTGCATGGAGAGATTTCCTTCCAAGATTGAGAGTAGGGACCTTTTTTTTTTCCAGCTCAAGAGACTGGGATTTACAGATGTTTACTTCAGGCAATGGCAGCTATGTGACATGACCTGACACCTTCTTTTCCATGGCTTCCAAGGTCCTGGCTCTGTGTTCACCTACAGCAGTGGTGTTGGCCATCTCTTTGATCTATCTGACATTTTTTCCATGATCCCTCTTCTCTTTTTGTGATCTGATTTTTTTGTTAGGTCTTTGCATTTCATTATAAGCCACCCTTCTAAAAGATGTTGGATGAAACAGAATCGATCTTCATGATTCCAAAGGGTTGAATATTCTCCCCAGCCAAGACCTCCTTATCTTGAATTTTTCCCATGACTTCCCCCAGACTACATATAATCTTCAGTTTTATGACCTTCAAATTCTCAGTCTGTCTCAGTGATCCCTTTCATTTATTCCTTCTTGAACTTGGACCCTGTCTTTAGCTTATCATAAATGAGCTGATGATAACTCCAAACAGTAGTTACTCTGCATTTAGTCCCTGCTGTATGCCAGGCAATATGTTACATGCTTTACAACAGTGGTTCTCAAAGTATGGGTTTCCTGCTAAAAGCTGCAGCAGTAGCACCAAGAAACTTCTGCAAACAGGTTCTGTAGCCCCATCCTAGATCCAGTGAATTGGTTACTCTAGAAGTGGAACCCAGAAATTCTGACAATTCCTACAATTCTGATTCATGTTTAAGTTCAAGAGCCACTGCTTTACCAATATTATCTTATTTCAGTCTCAAAACCTGCAACTAGAGACTTATCAGTCTTACCCCAGCTTTATAGATGAGAAAACAAAGGCTCAGAGAGTGTAAGTAGATTGTGCAAGTTCTCACAAACTGCAGATGGGCAGCATGGGAAATCCACACCAGACCTGTTAGTTCCAGGAAATCCCTCACTTGCTTGATGGCCCATAATTTCTACTTTGTTGCTTACTAAACTTGGGTAGGCCGTGTTGTATGTAGCATGCTGTATTTACTTCTGTGTTCAATATGATAGGACAGGGATGAGAACAGTAATGGTCTTCATTATAACGAGTGCATATGTTTATTTCAGTGGAATCTTCTCTCTCTTTTTTTTTTTTTTTGGTTGAGTCACTAAGATATCCTTGCTATAACTTGTTTCAATTATTTTCAGAGTTAAACTTACAGTGCTTTATCTTGTTGATGAAAAGGTAACAGTAGAAAGTCTCATGACTGTTTTCCTGGAGATATTAGGGCAAAATAATATGTACATTTCCCGCTTTCTTTCATTCCACTGTAAACCATCAACATATCCTTGTTCTATTTCTTTGTTCTTGCTTATAAGGAAGGATTGCTTACACTATTGATTCTCTGCTAAAAAAGATTGTTTACACTCTTGGTTCACGAGTTTTGGTTCTCCTTTCAGATATTGCTCAATCGATTATCCTCTTCTGTCACCTGAAACTTCTTTCTCACACTTTTGGCCTCTTAATCTCATCAACAAAGTATGTTTAGACCTTACTAACAAAGACTGATCTTTCTCAGTCCCAATCTCTTCCTCATCTTCAGTTCTTTGTCAAGTTTCTTTAAAGAATAATCTATCATTCTTCCTTGAATTCCTTTGCCACTCACAATCTTGATACATCTCTAATGCAACTGTTTTCTTCAGTGCAATTGGTTAACTCTTAAACCAGATCTCTTTCTCAAACAAAATCTTTCTCAATGTGTATTTGTGTTTCTCTGTACCCATCTGTTACCAGTGACCATCTAGTAACAAGAACCTTTTTTCTTGACTTGATTTCCATGATATTGAAATAACAAAACCCACCTAGCCATCTTTTCCCATCTTTTGGCTTGTGTTTTACAGTCGTTTCTAATTTTTACTTAATAATTCATTTATTTATTATTTAAATATTTATAATATTTTAGAGTCTACCTTCTCCCTACCACTGCATTAGGTGTTAGGGCTTTAATGGTCAGCATGCTATATAGGATCTCTGCCCTCTCAGACTGAACAGGTCAGTGGGAAATAAGAGAAGGACCAGTACATCATTTCACTTAATCCTTATAAAGACTTTATGTGGAGGGGACAATTATCCATGTTTGGGAATACTGAGGAACAGAAAAGTCACATGGAACAGGAAGATCATACAATTTCATGCTTTTGTTTGTAGCAATTTGTATTTCATTCGCTATCCTACCTCACTAACCACTCATTACCCAGACAATTTGACTCCATATACATGCTCAGAGCTGCCAAATACAAGAGCTAACACAAGCTCTAGCACAGAAACCATTTTCTCAGAGCAGGTCTTACATTTCTAATTGTGCAAACATCTCCCTCAAACCTCCAAGTACATGTCCAGAGAGAACTCATCTGATAGCCTTTGCCAAACACATAAAAATCAAACCAACCAACTCTAAGTTCCCTTTCTGAATTCTTGATTCTTAATGACATCATCATTTTCCAGTTCTCCAGGCATAAACCTTAGGATATCTTGGATACATCCCTCTCTTTCACATAACTGCTTATACTGTTAATAACACCTCAGCAATGTCTTTTTCTAAAATCCTTATGTTTAATTTCCACAACTGTTTTCCTTGCTCCTTCACAATACTTTATCTGGGGTTTTCACTGCCTCCAAATGTTACCATTAATTTCTGGTTCTAGGTCACCCTATTAACCTGTTATGTCAGAGTTTTCTTCCTGGTATATTTCTGGTGATGGTGATCCCCTGCTCAATACTGCTCGGCTAGCAATCATGGCCCTACTTGATATGACCTCCATCAATCTTTCAAGCCAACTTTTCCACTTTTCTCCATGGGTTATGTGTTCTGGGCAGAATGGTACATGACTACTCCCCCCTGCCCCAGTTTTGTATCTCTGCCTGATGAAATCATATGATGTTAAATTTTATCTTGAACAGCCTTGCTTCCACGAAATCTTTTCAGGCCTCTATGCCTTTAGAACTTTGTGGAGATGTGTTTGGTGTTCCCTATTAGCATACATGCTGCCTAATATGGCATCCATTGGTATATTGTCAAAATTCTCCTTCAAAGCATGCATGGGGCAGATTTTGCTCACCATAGAAAAAAGCCTTTACCATGATAAAGGCTTTGCAAGTACTTGCTGAATCGAAATGGAGAGATGAGTGATTAAATACAGATGAAAGTATGGGTAGAGATGGGGAGAATATGCCAAACTAAACAGTCACCCTAAGTCAAAACAACATCTTTTGGCACATTGGCTATTTTTCTCTATTTCTTCTTCTTGGCATTTTCTCTTCTTGGTTTCCATTCTCTGTTAGCTTGATAAGCGATTCACTGCCTAATACACACTTGAACAGCACTACAATCTGTGAAAGTCAACAACTTTCTCAGAGGAGGAAGAGAATGCATCTCAGAGGATATTATTTACATTTTCTTTCTAAAAGGTGGTGTGTGTTAGGTGGTCCCTGTTGATTTTTTTTTTCAGAGCTTCTCTTGAGAACTGGTAGAGTGGTGAGTTACCAACCTTTCCACCTATTAATATTAGCATTCATGATTATACTATTAAGACTAATTATTGACAATGAGACCCTAGCATGTATTGTATCCTTGGGACTATATTCATGGTTATAAGTTATTTTGGCCTCCATAGCATCTTGAAACCCCATGAAAAACAGTACCTTAGTGATTTATTTCTGATTATTTTTACAAATGGCTCAGCTGATATCAGAAAACGGTTTTATTTTGTTTGCTTCTTTGTGCATCTGTAATTCAAAATGTGATTCTTGCATCACAGCTGCTACCAATTAAAAATGCAGAATCTCAGGCCCCCTCCAAACCATTGTAGCAAGATCCTAAGGTGATTCCTGTGCATAGTAAAGTTTGGGAAACACACATTTAAGTTCTAGCACCTGTCAACAGACAGACTGTGTTGTTGTGTCTGTGTGCACGCGGAAGGGGAAGGGAGAGAGGGAGAGAGAAAGGAGGATGGGGAGGAATATGAATGAGAGGATGAGAAATCAGGTAAGGGAAGAAAAATCTGAGGGATCTGCGATGCGGGACTTCCCTGTATATTTGCAGTAGCTTCACCCAATCTCTTTCAGCTGCTGCCTGAGGTTGTTGAGGTTAACTATTAAAAAAACAGGCTGAGGGAGTTGTTAGGTACTGCACCCAATTCAGAGGATAAAGGACCTAGGTACAAAAGGTAAGCCCCTTTTCTGAGCTTCTAGAAGCAGCTCACTAGGGCTCATTTTCAAAATCTCTAGTTTCTGGATGCATTTCTCCTCGCGTTTCCCCTTAACACTCACGACCCACTCATTACATTAAGGTAGTTCTTCGCCTCTAATCTGGTTTTTCTTTCTTCTCATCCATCTCCCTCTCTCCAGCTCCCCCCAAGCCGGGCCCCTCCCTCCACGCCAGCTCGCACCTCTTTTTCACCCGGTGCACCTGGGGCTGGCGCGGGCTCGGGACGCGTGCGGAGCGTCGCGAGCGCGGCGGAGGCAGAAGCGCGCTGACTGCCACCTCCAGCCCGCGCCCCAGGGACAGCTCGCGCGGAGCAACGGGCACCATTCTCCGCGGCCGCTGCTCACGGCTGGCGGCGACCATCGCCGCCGAAGCTACCGGCAGGCAGCCGTAGGTCCCCGGGACAGACAGCCCCGGAGGCTGCTCCTCCCGGATGCCAGGGCCAGGGCGCCGGGTGGCGAGCAGCAGGAGGATGAAGAGCTCAGCGGGAGGAAGGAGAGAAAAGCTCTTGGGGATGCCTAAAGCTGAGCCCAGCCACGGTAAGTTGAGCGCAAAAGGCGGAGGTGTATCCGCTTGGGCGGCAGAGTTGGCTGGGGCGCAGGGCGTGGGGCTGGGGTTGCGCCCCTGCGGGATGCCAGGCGCTCAGGGTTGGGGAGGCGCGTGGGGTCGCCGAATGGGCATTTGCATTACCCAGACTATGGACCACCTCCGCCGTACTCCCCACTATAGGAGTCCTGCCTCTTCTACTCAGTGCCAAGGATGAGAGAGATGAGGTTGTGGGGCCAGAGTGGAGAGAGCGCGGGGCTTGAGGGACTCCGTCACCACTTACTGCGGAGCACCAAGGGGCAGAATAGCGCGGGGGTGAAAGGGCCAGCCTGGCTCTGGCCAGAGTCCAGGGCAGTGTCGCCAGGGACAGACGCCCTGCTGGTTGTCTCCTATTGGGTGTGTGCGGGTGCGCGCTCTCCTTAGGAATCCTAGCGAAGTTGTTGGGATAAGGAAGCACAGCGGGCCAAGCTTCCTGGCTTCCTTTTTTTTTTTTCTTTTCTTCTTCGTTTTAACAATAACAACAGCAACGATAATAATAAAGCCCGTTCAAGATGCACACGATTTGAAGGCAAAGTGAGGAGCTATCGAGTTCTAGGAAATGTCCCTCCAGGAGAGTCACTTTCACATTTGGGGTGGAGTTGGAAGGTGGCGACCCATAAACCAGAGCCTCTGGATTTGAAGGTCTTATTGGCCATCTGGTATCTTGGACCCAGGGGACCAAGTTGGAAGAGAATTTGCACACCCTTTGACTTCTTAAGACCTTAGAAGTTTTATTTTAAGTGTGAAATGGGATCAGGTGATACCTGCAGCCTCTAAAATGGTGCTCAGTTTCCAATCTGTCCCTCTTACAATTCAGTCGGGTCTTCTTCATGTATTTCTCATAGCAGTGTTTATATCTGTTTTACCCTGAGCTGTTTGTGATTTCAAGTAAGTAATGAGAACTCCCTGGGCTGTTGAGAATCTCCAAATTCTGGAACCTTGAAGAGACTGCGAAGAACACTCTACACCCTGTGGCTGTGACCAAGGACTCTGGTCTGTTCTATGACATTCCTGCAGTGCTTTCTGGGGATGTGATAGGGAAAATGTCTCTGTTCAGCTTGCTGAAGCTGTTTGCTAGTTGGTCTGTTAAAGGAGCCTTTCAAGTGTCCACTCACTCAGTTCTGGTTCACCATTTTTTTTTTTTCTTAAATTCACTGGAAAGGTGCATCTGTCTCTGTGTTCTCCCCCACTCCAACCCATTGGCTCCTGCTCCATAATTCAGTCACACTACTTTGGTCTCTAAGCATGAAAGGCAAATATGGGTCATTTCGAATTATGTAGATTGATGCAGCACAGCATGTCTGGGGTTTGCTGCAATTTCTTTACATTTCTTTCCAGATGTTCCTTAGAAATTAACTTGAACACTGTATTCATGGAGCTAAAATATAGACTAGGGGAATGGGCAAACATCTTGAGTCAATATACTATTTCAGATTAAGTAAATGAAGGGTTGAAAGTTGTGCGGGTTGGAGAAAGACCTTTAAATCCAAAATTAGAGGTTGTGGATTATTTTTACTCTGATACAGCAGCTGAAGGACTTTAGGAGTCATTTAATAATAACACCAAACATTTGTTTCTTAGTCTCTGCACATCAAGCTTTGTGGCTCTATGTTATACAATAACCCCAAGTAGGCAGTATTGTGGTTACCATTTCCACTTTGTAGATAAGGAAAGGGAGTTTTAGAGATGTTAAATTGGAGAAGTCCCAGGGTTAGTATTTTGGAACCCAAGATTGCCATACTTCAAAGCCACTTCCATTTAATGTGATACAACCTCTTTAAGCCTCATTTGAAAATTGAGAAGACTGAGCCTCTAAATCTCATGAAAAATTAGTGAAGTGATAGCCTTATCATAGATTGGTTCATCCATAAACATTTCAAATGTTTCATGTAACAGTGTGGAACTTGAGACTTGAACTCAGATGAATATTATGTAGCATTTATATTGTTCAGTCTGCCAGCTCTGGAGAGGGCTAAACCTGAGATCTTGGTGTTGATCTTGATGGTGTTCCTTGAGTTCCCTTATTGCAAATCTGTGGGGCTATATTATAGCTCTTAATGATGTATGATTAACAACATCAAACGTGTCTGGTGCTAACATCGCATTGGCATGACTCTGCATAGTACATCCTGAGGTGTACATGGACACTCTCATATTTCATTCAGAAAGTTTATAATTAAAGCACAGATCCTAACGGGATGTGGAATTTATATTAAGTGTTATGAGCAGCTCATTTTAATTTTTTTTTATTTTCAACAGTATTTTCAAAACAATTACTCCCCCTGCTGTGATTTGCTATTTACCAGGTGCATCAAAAGTTCAATGATGAAAAATGTCTGCAAATCAACAAAACATAGTGTTTCCTCTACAGTAACAAACAGGTCATTCACATGTAATTTAGGATTTTTTAAATTTGAAATTTAGTTACAAGGTTGCATTTCTCCTTACAATATGTATGCAGGTAGGTGAGTAGATGTCACCCTTTTTTTCTTAATTTTTTTCTTAATCACCAACTCCATACATTCATTATTCACACATTCCTTAGATAAGTTATGTTAGTGCTTGTGTAAAGATATTGAGGTTTTAAAACCAGGAGTGAGAACAACAAAAAAGATGTATTTGTCCTGTTTCTTCACGAGCTATAATGATGCTTGTTTGAAAGTGGTAGATTTTAAGTCAAAGATTTGATTTGCTGGCACATGAATGGGATTATCAGAGAAAAGTTGATCAAATCTATCCGGAGGCTAATGCTGTTACGATTCCAGATGTGGTATTAGTTTTGGGAAATAGAAAATCTCTGAGAACTTGAAGATATTTTACTATATTTCACTGTACTTCCATGGACTCTTATTGTATTAAAAATAAAACTGAATTTCTCTGTCCCATTAAGCTATTGGTTATTGCCAAGATTTCCCTTTTAGGGTTAAATTGTGTTTCTAATAATAACATAGCATTACATTAAATATAAATTTTTGTGCTTTCTCAATGTAGTTGGAGTTGTAAAGAGTAATATTTTGCCTACCATAAACAATACATTTCTAAATATGTAAAGGCTTAACAGAGGCATATAAAGAATGTGGTAATAATATACTGGAGATTTGTTTATTTTTTGGCAGTGGAATATGAATTTGTTATAGTAGTTAAGCCTGTTGGAGCCTTAGAACAGTAGTAAAGTATTAACTAATTGTCAAATTATAAAATTGTAAAATATTTCCTGACAGTGGGAGTCTTATAAATGTTTATCACATAGCTGTATTTTCTGCTGCATTTTAAGGATGTTTAAGTTCCATATTTGCACAATAGGCCTAATATTTTTGAGATATGATATTATTTGGTGATTTGAACAACCAGACCTATGGAAGGTAATTTAAACTCTAAACATGAATCACATTGACATCACAGATTGAAGGCACTAATATTGGAAAGGGATTTGTAATTTTGAACGTTTCAAGGGTTTGCAGCTCAAGGTAGATGGCACTTCTTATTTTTCTGAAAAGGGTTTTAAAGTGAGAGTTTGAATAAAACCTGGGTTGAAAATCAAGCCAGTACTTAAATAACACTTGGAAAGTTAAGATGAGCTTATGTAGAGTACATGCCTGAAATTTGCTAGTGTAATTTATTTTGAACAAGTAGATAACACATTGGAAATCATTTGAAATTTTTCAGCACATTAAAATGTATATATTTATATCTACTAAGGTCTGCTAAAATTAGTGATAGCTTTCTGTTATAGATTGAATATTTGTGTCCTCCCAAGATTCATACCTAACTGTGAATATAATGGTAGGTGAAGATTAAACCTTTGAAAAGTAGAGTTCAATGTGGTCATAAGAGTGGCACTCTTATAATGGAATTTGTGTCCTTATAATCTGAGAAGGAGACCAGAGAAATCTTTCCCAGTCAGGTGAGGATACAAAAGAAGGCAGCCATCTCTAAACCACAAAGAGGGCCCTTACCTGTCCCTGATCTGATGACATATTAATCTTGGTCTTTAGGGCCTCCAGAACTGTGAGAAATAAACATTAGTTATTCAAGTCACCAGGCAGCCCAGACTGATGAAGACATTCCCCTAAAATACAAACAACTTGTAATGAGAGAAAATTTAAGAACCCCAGTAGGCAGAAATGAACCAAATTTCTTTACGTAACCTTTATCCTATTTTAGATGTTTCTTTTTTGGGGGGTGAGGTGTGTGGATACTGGGATTCAACTTGTGAGCACTCAAACACTGAGCCACATCCCCAACCCTATTTTGTATCTTATTTAGAGACTGGGTCCCACAGAGTTGCTTAGCGCCTCGCTTTTGCTGAAGCTGGCTTTGAACTTGGGATCTTCCTGCCTCAGTCTCCTGAGTCTCTGGGATTACTGGCATGCACCACCATGCCCAGGCCCAGCCTGTTTCAAATTTTTTTTTTTTTTTTCAGATAATTCTGTACCACTTGTAGTATATTGCCTAGGTTGGGAGTATTTCAAACCGTCTCATTTCTAATTTAGTGATAAGTCAGTGGAGACTACTGGGACACAGTTCTAGGGTAGAAGAGTGACATTTAGACTGTTGCATCGCATGTCTTCAACACTTCACCTACAGTGGCGTCCAGCCATGCATTTTATTGTGTGCCTTATTTGGAACACAAAAGGATACTTTGCCCTAATCTCTCTGTGGAAATACATAGACCCAAATAACCAAGCATGCAGCATTCCTAAACAGGTCTTGTAGGTGAGAGCTTTTCAGCAGAGTTCTTTCTTTCTTTATAGTTCTGTAGCCCATCTTCTGGGCAACAGGACTGATCTTGGCATGCTTTGCTTACCCGTGCCTGTAAGGTGAAGAAACACTATTGCACTGCAGCCTTTGGGAGCACTTACAACATGGAGTCAGACTTTTATTTATTTGTAATCTATTCCACTTCTATTATTGCACTTCTGTTATGAAGTTACTCACTGTAATTTTTGTAGTG